AAGAACTCTAACATATCCAGTGTTGTGAGATCTGTCTCTCATAAGCGCAGCTCTGTGTGTAATGTGTGTGTGCGGTGAGGAGAGAGCGCCTCGCAGAGGGGACAGAGCGAGAGAAAAAAAGAGTGAGGTGTATGTAAAGTTTAGCGTATTAACATTACGCGAAAATAAATGGTAGATGTACGATCAGGAAACAATTATTTAAATTAATACATGAAAAAAATTACACACGTTTGTTAATAATCATTGTCATTAACAAACACTTATAACCAAGTACCACAGCATATATCAATACATGTTTAATAATGTGGTAAATATATTATTTCATTGTATTTTCAATGGCAAACGGACCCGACACGCGTCGACGGACGGAACAAATAGGATTGTTTCTATTTCGTCCGTCCGCGTCCGTTGCACCCTCCTTGACGGAATGCGTCCGACGTGCGTCGGACGGACGCATGTTGGAGGCATTCATCCTCATGGAGATAACGGAGACGGAGATGAAATGGACATGTTTGGACGGATCCGTCGTTTATTTTATGCGCCCGGTGGAGTCGGGGCCTTACCCACAAACGCCAGAAGACAAGGAAAAAACAACGGGACCACACCGTACCGGCACGAGGAGGCAGGGATGCGCACAGCTCCCACCGCACCGGTCCAGACCGGCCGCGACGAGACGAGCAGCGGCGAACCTGCAGAAAGAGCCTGCAAAGGATGAGAGCGGCAAAGACCCACGGACCACAGCACGAGACCCGCAGCAGGTGCAGCGACGCGGAGGAGGAGCAGACCACACGCAGCAAAACAGAGGACAGCAGGGACACGCACGAGTAAGCGTGAGTAGACGAAAGCGATTCCTCCAGAACGACTCTTTGCAAAGCTTCGAGAAGGCCGTAAAGTGGGAGTTTCTCCGCTTTTAAGCGGCTGGCCTGGCCGGCGTAGGTTGGTTGGAAATGGGCGTTTGCTGTGCAATAGGCCGAGGATGTGTGGCAGGCCTGGAGGGGATAGGCTTTAGCAGTCAGTCTTCCAGAGTGGACCTTCGCGAAGCTCCATTTTTGTTGCATGTGAATTAACAGGAACATACAGTTAAACCCTGAAATCACAAAGGCATAATGTGATTCAGTGAAACAGTCTTCAACCGTTAAAATTAGCAACGGCAATGCCATGTTGAGAAAACGGTAAATCCCTGGAACCATATTAGCCAGCTTTTTACCGTTTTTCTACAAGGAAATTCTTTACTGTGTACCCAGAAAAAAGTCCCATAGAACTCAATGTAAATTAAAACAGCTCGACCTCAGCTGACAGAGAACCTACAGCTTTCATAAAGATCGGATTTTGTGGGGATTTTAGTGTCCCCACAAAATAAGAACTTTTTTCTTCTCAAATCCTTCGGTTTTCTTTAAATACAAACTTTACAGCCAAAAACTCTGCTCCTTTCCTTCACGCTCTGGCTCCGCTCTTCATCAGAGCAGCGCTGGTTGGTCAGAGCGTGGCCGAGCCCCTCTGCGCCTGTGCACGAGAGCCACAGAAGCGCATTTGGCGCGACGCATCATGGGAGATAATCCACTGCGCAGAACCGGGAGGACCAGACGATGCCCAAATATAGGCGAGTTCAGCTAATCTCCCGGTCCCCATGAAGTCCCATGCGCTACTGAGCACAAGCCATTCATTTGTATAGGGCGCCATCTTGGACATTTGATACAATCTGAAAAAGAAAGCCTTGGTGTGTTACGGGGCTTCATCTGCCCATCACAAATAATAGTGTAGTGTAACCCCAAGTCACGATAAATAAATACTATGCTGTATTCTCCGTTTCTTGTTTAGTCCTCAAATGCCGAATCAGCTCTGCTGCTCCCACCTCCCACTCAACATACATACTTTGCGTGTTGCTTTTGTGCCTTCCTCGTTTTCTAATGAGAAATACAGCCACACCTTTGTCATGTTTTAACTAGTGGTCACATGAACACCACTCTGAAATTATACAACTGAGTTTTAAATTATTGCTTGCGCAGTTACCATAAACTGCTACTTCACAACAACTGCTGTAAAGAACGGGCAAGTCGTCAGGCAGATGAACCGATCCTAGATCAGTCAAAAACCATGAAGTATAGGCTTGATCTTGAGAGCAGGAATTCCCTAATTATTTAATGCTGTAATTTATACGGGTGAAGTACAGATAGACAAAGATATTTCTGACCTTTAAACCTTTGAAACACTACAGATCAAAACCAGAAAAACACAGTCGATTTTCACAAATAAAACCAAACAAATGTAAATGTACATTTAAGTCTGTGCCATTACTAAATTAGTTGTTTAAAAAAAAAAAAAAATGGATTAGTTGTCCATTAGTCGTTTTAGTCCTACACATGTATTTGATGGGTATCACTTTAAAGTGAGAGTATGTTACTCTAAATTAATTAAACATTTTAAGAATTGTAGTAAATTGACCTCCTGGCCTCAAATGTTGATATGCAGCCTCGCGGAAATTTAATTCTGGAAGACGTCAGCCAAAGCCACCCCTTCCGCGCCGGCCTCGCATCCCCAGCCTATCGCACAGCAAACGCCCATTTCCAACCAACCTATGCCGGCCAGGCCAGCCGCTTAAAAGCGGAGAAACTCCCACTTTACGGCCTTCTCGAAGCCTTGCAAACCACCGCCTCCCCTCCTCCTCCTTTTTCTCACCCTGCCTCAATCATGCCTCTTCCTGCTGCCCGAATGCCGCCACCAGTGCCTAGGTCCCGGGGGATTGTGCGCGCACTCTCGCAGGAGCCTCGCTCACTGAACGCCGCACCGGGGCCTAGGGCGCCAAACTACCTTCAATAAAATACTTCAAATGCATTTTGTCTCCTCAAAGTCTCTCCAAATTGAAATAAAATAAGTCATTTTATTAATTCTAATATTACAGGTAAGTCCCGCCTTCCCTTCTCTTAGCTATAGCTCAGAATCCATGATGCCGTCCACGTTAACCAATCGAGTCGTGCCAAGGGCTGTCAATCATCAGCGCTGATGCTCGTAGCTACGCGGATGCTCAGTTGTTTGTTTTCGCGGAGCCTCCGAATCAAGCCTCCATTAGGCTCTGGAACTACATGAAAACTGAACAAAGAATTCTGAATATCCGTGCCGAGTTACCTATGTATATACTGAACCTATATCCATAATCAGATCCTCTGCAGGTGTGTCCTATGATGTGCAATTAATGATATAGCTTCTCCCGGGTTTGCCGCGAGCGTTTTTTTGTGCATTAAAAAAATATTTTTTTCATGAAAATTGGTTCTTGTACAACACAAAATGTCAGCGTGCTGTTGTATAGCCCTTGCCTTTTTATGTGTTTATACTCTATGGCCACTTCCCTAACTAAAACATATGCGTTAGCGTTTGAGTGACAGCATATTAGCGCTAAAGCTAATGCTAACATTTTTCTTTCAAAAAGCAGTAACGTCTCGCTATCTGGGGGATAGTATAATGACGGCTCAGTTTAATTCAAACTGTAAACGCATACTCACCATGCAGCCTTCTTCTCTCCATATGGTGGTTTAAACTTCATGCTATGAAAGCAAGATGGACATTTCCTTGAACTTGCAAGAAGCCCAAGTTTCATTAACCATCGGGTAAATTTAGAGTTTTCTTCTGGGCAGTTCCTAAAAGTTATTTTCTCAAAAAGTTTATATTGGGTATCTTGAATGAAAGTACGCTGATAAGACCAGACGCTTTTTTGTTTTTTTTCATCAAATACGGATGCGCCACCCACCCCTCCCGCCTTTCTCCTCTCTCTCTGGCAATGGGTATGAATGTAAATGAGTGAATGGATGGTGTTGATTGGGACCTGATGCGCCAGTGTGTTTGGCGAATCGCTTCCGTCATCACCGTGTAAGGAATAATTGGAACAATATCTAAACTCTTAACATTGTAAAGCGCGGGTGACCTTGGTCTATAAAATGCGCCGTATAAATTAACATTACTTACTTACTTACTGGCGCTTCCGCTGCTCCGAGTCCGCTGATAGACATGTAAATCAGCCAATCACTGCCCATCTTACAGTAAGAACAAAATATAAGAAAATGTTGCAGTACGATTCATATAATTTTTATTTCACTTAAACCAGCAACACTGGGGCCCCCATAAAAATCTGACGTGTCTGCGCGGCCCCCCAAAATAATAACCTTGAAGAAAACGTTAAAAATAGGCTTTTCTCGTTACTTTATTTGGGGGATATAGCCTCTGCTACAAACGTGTAAATGACCCTCCCCACTTTGTAATAAACAAAATATTGTTCATTTAACAATAATTATATAAAACACTTTTTTTTTTATGACCTCTCGCGGCTCACCTGCAGTACCTGGTGGGCCGCGAGAGGTCATAAAAAAAAAAAAGGGTGACACTGACTTAAACATATACCTTTTATCGTTATTCAAAAAACAATTACTATTGTTTTTTCGCACTTCTTAATTTGTACTGCCAATCAGTTTAGGACCCGCCTTCTTGAGCGGGATTCTCACCCGCTCTATCCTCGCTAGTTCACTCTGTCGTAATAACCTAGCGGGGCACGGCTGGATTGTTACAAACAAAGCGTTACAAGTTATAAAGAAAAAGTCAAAGATGGTGAGTTAATCTTTGGTTCTATTTCACAGCACATGTGGTAGTTTGTACTATATCAAGCGAAAACTATATACACATAAAGTTTGCACGTTTTTAAGGTATGGAAAAGTTGCCTTGGTCACACTGTTAGCTAACTTCAATGATAAGTTACTGTGGTCACTGTTAAATAACTTCAATGATAAGTTACTGTGGTCACTGTTAGCTAACTTCAATGATTGTGCTTTTAAACAACACCCCCACATACAAAGTTAGCTGTGACTGCAGATATGTTGTGTGAAATTGAATTTTATGCAATTAACACAAATGATCTAAAGGAAATTAATAGCCATTATGTACAATTACATTTACTCTAATGTAAAATGATTTACTGTTCGCAGCCTAAAGCCCAAAAGAAGCGAAAGTGTGTTCCAATGGAGGGCCCAGCGTCACCAGAGTCACCCCTGAACCTGACACAGTGTGTGCCAGATGGTTAGTAGTAGTAGTTTTATTATATTATTAGGTAACTTAATTATGTTTTATCATTCATCTTACAGATCAAGAAAGCTTTCCAATTTGCAGCACTCAGAGTGGAAGTGTGGAATCAGGTTTTATTTGTTCAATTGTAATAATGATAACACTAGCCATGGCTGTGAAAGTCATGGAGCTTTCGCGAAAGTTCACTGTGGTAGACCCGGCTGCTGCTGCCCAGATCTACAGGCCTGCTCTCATCCTCGGCTCATCATACCAGCAACGCCCACATCCAGTCAACCAATAACCACCAGGACAGCAAGTTAAAAGCCGGAGACGCCCACTTCCCGGCCTTCTCAAGTCTGCAAGCCTCCGCCGCCCCACCTCCTCCTTTTCTCATCGAAGCGTGCTTGCCTGCTGCCGCTGCCGCCACCAGTGCCTAGGCCCCGGGGGGGATTATGCGCGCGAGCAAGCGCCGCGCTCAACAGCATCGCTCCCGGGCCTAGGGCGCCAAACATGCTTAATCTAATAAACTTCTAACTGCATTTCCCCTTGTGGGTCTCTCCAAGGTGAAATGGCATATGGTCATAACACAGACTTCCATCCAGTAGGCTTAAAAAAGTGCACCAATGTAACACATAGAAAATCCAAATACATTAATGTTTCTGTGTTTGTGTGTTTCAGTGTCAAAAATTATATTCCTGCAAGCTAAAATTGAGTGGCAAGGGAAAATTATTTTAGATTTGGAGGAAGAGCGTAATTTTATTCGGAAACAATTAATTAATGAAAACAAGACTACATGTAAGTAATATACAGCATTTTAAATAAATGTTCATTGTCTTTTGCATGACTACATTCTATTAGTTCAATATTTTGCTAGCAGCTCAACGTAAACATACAATAACAAAACAGGATTACTATTCAGACACCAAAATACCATCATCACCAAACATGACAGCGATGGTACTGTCTTGAAGAAGAAAAAAATCAGACAGTCTTATGATTCTTCAGATGAAGTAGCAGTGCTGGGGCGAACTCACATGAGAGGCACAGTCTGCTATGCGAATTTTATTTTAACAGTATGACAAATATTTTTACAACGTGATTTGTCTAAACAGTTTAGTTCTACCCCAAATCTCATGGGAGCAACTAGTTTTTAAAGTTAAATAGGCTGTTATTCTAATTCCGTGCCAATGCAGGACGGTTAGACTGTTAGTGGTCTAACAAGTAAGACTGTGGTGATGATCCAGGAGACTCAACTACAATATTTATGGACATTTATCAACATTCATGGCCATTGGTCTCTCCCTTCCTCTGAGATGACTATTGTTGTAAATTTAAGGCTATACAAGAATGAAGTGAATTGAATTGAATACAGTAAAATTAATAGGAAATTAATTAAGTGATTTAATGTCGTTTGATTTTATTTGTTTCTTGTTTTTCAGTCAAGACACCTGATGAAGCCATCCAAAGATATAAGCAAGTTCTAAAAACATTCCAACTCAATAGAGAAAAAGGCATTCATTCAAAACATGGATAACTTTTGCCACTAACGGTCAAGTATTAAGTATTATCATATATATTAACCCTTTGCTGTTTAGTCGCACTTGTCAGACATGTTTTTACGTTGTTACCTTTCTTTTTAAACATTGGGTTACTGTTGCTTTTCTGGCACATTTTTGCTCTAGTTGCTTGTTTCTTTGCATTTCAAGCATCAAGCTCACATATTGTACGAGTTGAGTTGTTAACAAAAATAATTTATTGAAGTTGATTGTTTTATGTAATATGGTAAAAATGTTTGAGTGACAATTTAAAAAGCAAAAACAATGTAATTTTTCCTTTATTAGGCATGAAGAGAAGACCACAGATCTATTTGGGTTTAATTAGTTATAAACTAATAGTTTGTTAGTTATGATCACAACATCACTTTAGAATGGGGAAGATATTCTCAGCTTAAGAGCTATTTGACTACAATGAGATAATATTATTTGTGTTTTATTTCTAAAGATCTGTCCATGTTCATCAAGAGGTAATAATGGCTAACAACAGTTTGTTCGCAGATGCATATTAACACTGTAACAACTATGTAATTTCTGGCTAATGAGCAGTAATAGACCCCGTGCACTAGAAAATTCTAACTTCCGGGTTTGAGACCGGATGTCGGTTTGCGTGTTTGTTTGCTGCTGAGGATGGACTCAAAAAAAAAACAAGATTTGTGATAGAAACGATGGCTTTACTTTTCAAAAAGCACACGGTAGTAATAAACAACACTATTGCGTGCCCTTGTGCAGATTTGACAAACTGCTAAGATTCCACAGCTTCCTTAAAGACCCGGATTTGCGTGCTCAATGGCTGGTGAAAATCATCATCTTCTGAAATCTTCTCATCATCTTCTGAAATCTTCTTAGCTAAGTCAGGGAAACGGTGCCTTCAGCCGAAGTCAGTTCCATGTTTATTCCAGTGGAATAATTATTTGAAAAAGACCCCGCGACCCGGAGTTTGGGAGCGCAGTGCACGCCTTTCCCAGACCGCGGCCACAGTTGCAGAGGATGATGACAACTCCAATGTGGCGAAGGATGAGCCCTCCTCTGGTTGTATTGATCTGGCTCCAGACTCTACCCCCATCTTTGAGGACCACGACTATGCTGCAAGTTCATTCATTGTGGTGGGCCCTATGAGATATGAAAACATGACGAGGGAGATTGAGGAGCTCAGGCAGCAGCTACAGTCGCATCCTTTGACTCATACATTTGGACTGCAGCGGTTTGCCTCATCACCTGAAGACACAAGGTAAGAAAGAGTATGTGCACGTGTGTTAAGAAAGTATATGTATAATGTATTCTCCGATTAACATTTAAATGTGTTGATTGATTGATATTTGTGTTATTGAGCGTGGCTAGCTCCGTTAGCTTCTCTGCAGAGACAGTCCATTGTGACACAGTGTACGAACTACTGTCAGAGTATCTTAGTATTTTACACACCTGAATTACAAGCAGAGATTGTGTTGCCAAAGGGCAGCAGCCATTATTGGTTTGCGATGTCCGTTGTTAAGAAATAATGATTGGTAGAACGTTTTTAAAATTACATTCAAATCAATGGAACACTCTAATGCTGCTGTGAGAAACAGTATAATAAATTATGATTAAATATTTGAAAATTGAAATTAATAAACAAACGCAAACTTTGAAAAATGATTTTTGTGCAGAAGTCAAAGCCCTATAGGTCACTACATAATTACAAGATACAAGAATTTCTTTTACTTCCCATGTGCCGTAAAACCACAATATATGCTTGCTAAGGTTTTCTACTTTTCATCCATACCCCTTAGCACATAATTGTATACAGTGCCTTGCGAAAGTATTCGCCCCCCTTGAATCTTTCAACATTTCGCCACATTTCACGCTTCAAACATAAAGATATTAAAATAAAAAAAATTGTCAAGAATTAACAACAAGTGGGACACAATCGTGAAGTGGACCGAAATTTATTGGATAATTTAAACTTTTTTAACAAATAAAAAACTGAAAAGTGGGGCGTGCAATATTATTTGGCCCCCTTGCGCTAATACTTTGTAGCGCCACCTTTTGCTGCAATTACAGCTGCAAGTCGCTTGGGGTATGTCTCTATCAGTTTTGCACATCGAGAGACTGGAATTCTTGCCCATTCTTCCTTGCAAAACAGCTTTTGTGAACAGCAGTCTTCAGCTCTTTCACAGATTCTCGATTGGATTCAGGTCTGGACTTTGACTTGGCCATTCTAACACCTGGATACGTCTATTTGTGAACCATTCCATTGTAGATTTGGCTTTATGTTTTGGATCATTGTCTTGTTGGAAAATAAATCTCCGTCCCAGTCTTTTGCAGACTCCAACAGGTTTTCTTCCAGAATGGTCCTGTATTTGGATCCATCCATCTTCCCATCAATTTTAGCCATCTTCCCTGTCCCTGCTGAAGAAAAGCAGGCCCAAAGCATGATGCTGCCACCACCATGTTTGACAGTGGGGATGGTCTGTTCAGGGTGATGAGCTGTGTTGCTTTTACGCCAAACATATCGTTTTGCATTGTGGCCAAAAAGTTCAATTTTGGTTTCATCTGACCAGGGCACCTTCTTCCACATGTTTGGTGTGTCTCCCAGGTGGCTTGTGGCAAACTTTAAACGAGACTTTTTATGGATATCTTTGAGAAATGGCTTTCTTCTTGCCACTCTTCCATAAAGGCCAGATTTGTGCAGTGCACGACTGATTGTTGTCCTATGGACAGACTCTCCCACCTCAGCTGTAGTTATCTGCAGTTCATCCAGAGTGATCATGGGCCTCTTGACTGCATCTCTGATCAGTCTTCTCCTTGTTTGAGATGAAAGTTTGGAGGGACGGCCGGGTCTTGGTAGATTTGCAGTGATCTGATGCTCTTTCCATTTCAATATAATTGCTTGGGAAATCTTTTTGTATCCAAATCCGGCTTTAAACTTCTCCACAACAGTATGTCGGACCTGCCTGGTGTGTTCCTTTGTCTTCATGGTTCTCTCTGCGCTTTAAACAGAACCCTGAGACTATCAAAGAGCAGGTGCATTTATACGGAGACTTGATTACACACAGGTGCATTCTATTTATCATCATCAGTCATTTAGGACAACATTGGATCATTCAAAGATCCTCACTGAACTTCTGGACTGAGTTTGCTGCACTGAAAGTAAAGGGGCCGAATAATATTGCACGCCCCACTTTTCAGTTTTTTATTTGTTAAAAAAGTTTAAATTATCCAATAAATTTTGTTCCACTTCACGATTGTGTCCCACTTGTTGTTGATTCATGACAAAAATTAAAATTTTATATCTTTATGTTTGAAGCCTGAAATGTGGCAAAATGTTGAAAGGTTCTAGGGGGCCAAATAGTTTCGCAAGGCACTGTATGTTAAGAATATTAATTTGACTCATATTCCCATGAAATGGGCCTATAGAATGATGTGCAGTCAAGAAAAACTAAAAACACCAACTTTTTACATGCAGATTTCCATCATACGGGCATTTGACGGCTTTTTGGAATCTAATCAAAGAGGCAACAAGTAGAATGGTGAGGGTCACTAGTTAAATCATGTATATCATTTTTAATTATTTAATCAAATTCACTCACTGAATATCCACAATTTCTACACTGCATCACACTGATTATTGTAATCCCTTTAGTTTGTGTATTGTAATTTATTATCATCTTTTAATTGATGTTTTTTTTTTTTTTTTTTTCAGAAATTGCTGCAAATTGACAAGTTTTTATTGTTCCTCAATTATCTGGCTACTGCATGTACACAAAGGGACCTGAGTCATAAATTTAATATCCACAGAGCTACAGTGAGTAGAATAATTGTGACATGGTCCAACTTTTTGTACAGTTTGCTTGGATCCATCTCCATCTGGATGACAGCTGATAATCTTGCAGTGGTAATGGTGGAGAAGGTGGAGCATGATGGAGAGTCTGCGCTTTTTCTTTGGCTGGGTGCTGACAAGAAAGTGGATTTCCTTTCTGCACCTTGCCAAACAGTGACTCCACAAGTGGGACAATGTCGGTTACTCCCATGCTGCAGATCATAGGTCGGTCAGCTTCAGGGAAAGTATTGTAAACTTCAGATACCCAAAGAACTGAAAGGTCAGGAAGTTCCGCATGAATGCTTCTGAACAATTTGCTCCTGGTTGTTGATGACAAAAAAGAAAAAAACAATTTAAATTTGTGTAACACATTTAAAAATACAAAAATCTACTGTTGCATCAAGCACTTACTCCCTCTGTAGTCTTTCTTGTTTTGGGTTTGGCTGAGAGCACAGCCATCTTCTCAACAGGCCCAGGCTTAATCCCCTATTACAGTAGAAAATATAAATGATACATAAAACATGTTTTATTTATGTGGATATTATCATGTACACATTGCCTGATCTGATGTGTGTCCTCTGCACTCTTATTGCATTTTGATGTATGAATTGCGGTTGAACTCACCATAACTAGGCTTATGCACTGTTGTTCACCTTCAGTACCTCTTAACATCCTGGGGACAACTTGGGAGTTTCAATTGAGAATAATGTGCAGATTGAAACAGAAGGGCAACACAATGATTGCATAAAGCTTTTCCAGCCTTGCATGTGCATGCAAAGTGCAGCAGTTGCACAGGCTGCGAATCTGTTAAGACCACCTATAAAGTACAAGATTTGTATTTAATGTTATGTAATCAAATAATGTTTCTAGAAAGTATTATACATTTTTGAAAAAACACAACGATTATCCAACAAAACGCCTACAACCTGTAACATTACAGTTCATTATACACAACCATTTCATACTGCTTCTTTCAATAATCATACTGAGTTTGTGAGCTTTTGATCTTTATCAGACACTGCAGAAAACAAGAATTTTAGTATGGTTAGTAATAGAATAACATGTTAGTATTCATTAGTATAGGAACTGTAACAGAAACAAAATGTATAAGGATTTATAATATATATATATATATATATATATATATATATATATATATATATATATATATATATATATATATATATATATAAATCCTTGAAGGAGGGAACGTATAATGTAGGCTTTACTTACAGACTCAAGGTTCAATGCTTAACAAACAGACACACAAATACATTAGCTTAGCCTTTATATTAATAGTTAGACCTGCATGTTCATTACATTATAAATATGTTCAGATTTCGGCCTATGTAAATGTTAGTTTGTGTGTTTATTTGGGCATCTGGAAGATACAAAAACAATCATACAAAAGAGAAGCATAAAGAATACAATAGCCCAAAAGGGAGTTGGCAGAAGCTGGAACAGCTTATCTGGGCCTACCCCCTGTTACCAAAACACCCATCATCAATAAATATTGCTTATGATATTTACATGTACATACATTACTATATACATATAAATATACACATACACACGCACTGGCACATTTGACATACACACACACAAACACATATACACACATGCAGACACATACATATACTTTATATACATAAACACATTAACATATACATACATACACACTTTTTGCAATACTTATTTACCATACATACATACACACAAACATATACATACGTATTTACACACACATTTATGCAATACGCATTTAAGGAAAAACACACAGAAAGATTATATTCACAACTATTCCCGAACTAGAGAATGGCATCTTCAGCCTCATAATTAGAGAATATATATTTTTTGTACATTTGTTTGAATACGTGTATATTAAGAGAACTCTGCAATTCTTCTGGTAGCTTGTTCCACAGATCGACTTCACATCTGGAGATGCACATTTTTTTCAGAATGGTGCGAGCTAATTTCTTTTGTAAATTGAAGGGCTTCCTTAAGCTATACTTACTTTCTCTCTTTTGAAACATGTTTTTAATGTTAAAGTGATTGTCTGGAGTTTGTCAGAAAGAGAGACAGAGAGGTACTTGATTTGAAAAAAACGACACAAGCTCCCTCCCCCTTCCTTTCTTATTGGTCTACGCCTACGTTTCCGTAACACTTTTAAATGTTAATCAGAGAACACATTATACATATACATTAATAATACACATTCACGGAGGTTTTCAGAAGTATTTGTTAACGTTTTAATGAAAAAAATTATGTTTTTATGCACAAAAAAAGCGTTCGCGGCAAACCCGGAACCAGCTATTATCATGAACTGCACATTATAGGACACATCTGCAGAGGATCTGATTATTGATATATGTTCAGTATATACATAAGTACCTCAGCGCGGATGTTCAGAATTCTTTGTTCAGTTTTCATGTTGTTCCAGAGCCTAATAGAGGCTTGATTCGGAGGCTCCACGAAAACAAACAACTGAGCATGCGCGCAGCTGCGAGCATCAGCGCCGATGATTGACAGCCTTTGGCATGACTCGATTGGTTAACCTCGACGGCACCGTGGATTCTGAACTATAGCTAAGAGCAGGGGAGGCGGGACTTCCACGTAATATTAGAATTAATAAAATGACTTATTTTATATCAACATTTAAGGCCAGGAGGTCAATTTAACACATTTCCTAAAATTCGTAATTCATTTAGAGTTACAGACTATCACTTCAATTGGTAATTGAAGGTAACTTGCTTTGTACATGATTTGCAAGGTTTAAAATTTAACTAAATCATCAAACTTTAGTAAAGGGTAGGTGGTAACTGGTAGGACTCTTAGCTATGCAGGAAATCAGAATTGTACAGGGAACAGGAACGAAGACAGGCCAGTACTCTGAGCAGCACTTGTACTACTGACCAGGGTATCCTTGGTGGTAGAAACCTGTTCCGATATTTCACCCGTTAAAAAAGTAGTATGCAGTAAGACGTATTTGAAGGAAAGATAGTGATTCCCTCAGCAAAGAGTAAGTGAAGGAGGAGAGGTGTAGGGCTGGTGTCTTGCCTGAGTGTGTGTGTGTGTGTGTTTTCTACTGTGTTGCATGCATGAGGGGTGGAAGGCCTGTTTGTTATATATTTTGGGTGTATAAGTTAAACATATAATTATTATAATTACTGTATCCATAATAACTGTATATTTACTAATCTCATGCATAAGGGATTATAATCATGCTTACGGTCCATGTGTCTCCCAGGCAGAGGTGAAAAAGCTGAGTGCAGACCGCTGCAGAGAAATGAAGGAGATCCAGAAGCTGGAAAAGATCAGACTGAAAAACCCTACTGACCGTCAGAGCATCGTATCCTCTGTATGTTCTTGTTTTCACTTGTGTTTTCATGTACAGAAAGGTTCCACCTTGTGTTCTCCTTAACAATGTTGTCAGTCTCAGGTATAAGTGAGAAATGTGCATGTGTGTGCAAGTATATGTATAGTGTATGTGTGTGTACAGGCTGAAGTAAGTGTGCAGAAGGCTTCCTCTAATGCCCAGAGAAACACCAGGCTCATGGAGGAGGCCATTGTGGACTTCCAGAGGAACAAGCTGGAGGACATCAAGGTGACACACATGTTTTCTGAAGCAAGTTTTAAATCATTCTGACTACTGAGGCAGGGCTCTGTGGTAACTGTGGCTTTCAGCCCCAAAAGCACATCTAAAACGTCAAATTCACCCATCCGTCCATCCATTTTCTTCTGCTTCTTACGTTGCCAAATTGGTCTAAGCAATGAAGCCCACACTTCCCTATCCACACACTTCCTCCAGCTTATCGGGTGGAAGTGGAAGTTATTCCACCTGAGAGACATAAGACGTGTCCTGGGTCTCCTATCAGTGGGTAATGCACAGAACAGGCGTCCAGGATACATCCATAACTAATGATTGGGCCACTTCAACTGGCTCAATGTGGAAAAGCAGTGGCTCTACTCCGAGCTCCTCCCATGTGACCAAGCTTCTCACCCTATCTCTAAGGAAGCAACCGTCCACTCTGCAGAGGAAACTCATTTCAACCACTCGTATCCATGGTCTCATGCTTTCAGCCTGGAGACCCTTGGAAAGTCTCAGGACACATTGGAGGGACTATGTCTCTCATTACCCAAAGCTCATGAAAGCTTTGGGTAAGGATCTATGATGGATAGGTGAGGGTGGGAATATAGATTGACTGGAAAATCCAGTGCTTTGCCTTTCGACATCCTCTTCACCTCAACAGTTCGGTACAGCAGTTGCAATCTGTTCCACACTCCACTCCGTCTTTCCCCCATTCTTGAAGAAGACCCTAAGATACTTTAACTCCTCCAGGGACTACGGGTGGAAATTAGCTCTTGAGCTATAACTTGGTACAATGCATCTCTCCCCTTGGGGTTAATGTTTATTGTACACTGTCCCTGTTTCTCTAAATAAAGAAAATTACAATTACAAAAAGGTGCCTTGCCCTCTCTACGCACCTTTTCTAGTGGAGCACCGTGGCCTCGGATTTGGATCCCAGCCCCTTTAAACTCCGCTGCAAATGGTCTCAGTGCATGTTGAAGTTCCTGGTTTGTTGTAGCAAACAGAACAACATTGTTTTGACTATGGTCCCTAAACTGGACTCCCTGAATCAGAGGAGGTGATTTAAAGTGAACCTCAAAGTATTCCTTTCACTGGCAAATAATATGGCCAGTCAACAGCTTTCCACCCCCACTATAAACGGTCCTGGCAAAGCACTTCTTTCTGCGCCTGAGGCGCTGAACAGTTTGCCATAATCTTTTCGAGCCTGACCTATAATCCTTCTCCATGGACCCTCCAAACTCCTCCTAGTCCCAGGTCTTTGTCTCGCAACAGGAATGTCATATTAGTGTAAGGGGAACTAAGAATATAGATTGTCAGGAATTCTTAGCATTTGTGAAATCTTAGCATGGAGGCAATGCACATGTTGATTTTATTAGACACAAAATACATCTTCATAAGTAATTTATTTAAAGATTAAAATATAAATTAGTTCATTATTACAGAATAAGAGCGAGACTTCTAAGGCTATGATTTACACACTATGGCCTCACTGGTGCATGTATGGCGTATTATCACTTTTAGAGAAAATGTGACTTACGTTGATGTTGGTACGTGCGGTGCAGTGCATATTCACAGACTTCATCACGGTGGAGATGCTGTTCCATGCCAAAGCCCTGGAGATTTACAGCCACACCGTCCAAAGCCTGGAGGCCATCGACCTGCACAGGGACTTGGAGGTATGCTCCCATTGTAGATAATGATAAAATAATACAATGCAACAAGTGGGTGTTGGTATGTACAGTGGGGCAAAAAGTATTTATTCAGCCACCAGTTGTGCAAGTTCTCTCACTTGAAAAGATGAGGGAGGCCTGTAATTTTCATCATAGGTATACCGCAACTATGAGAGACAGAATGAGAAAGAAACAAAAATCCTAAAAAACACTATTTTTATTTATCAAGAATGTATTTGAAAAATAATGCACTCTAAGTATTTGGTCAATAACAAAAGTTCATCTCAATACTTTGTTATACACCCTTTGTTGGCAATGACAGAGCTCAATCGTTTTCTGTTAGTCTTCACAAGGTTTTCACTCAGTGTTGCTGGTATTTAGGCCCGTTCCTCCATGCCTATCTCCTCTAGAGCAGTGATGTTTTGGGGCTGTCGCTGGGTAAACTTTCAACTCCCTCCAAAGATTTTCTATGGGATTAAGATCTGCAAACTGGCAAGGCCACTCCAGGACCTTGAAATACTTCTTATGAAGCCACTCCTCCGTTGCCTGGGTGGTGTGTTTGGGATCTTAGTCATGCTGAAAGACCCAGCCACTTTTCATCTTCAATGCCCTTGCTGATGGAAGGAGGTTTTCATTCTTCTACACATGCATGGGTGGAAGCCGGCAGCAGGTTACATTGTTCCCATTGAAGAAGGGATTCTTCCCACTTTTCTTACTTACTCGTTTACTCCAGCGCCTTCGACACCATCCAGCCGCGGCTTCTCAGGGACAAGCTGGAGACAGCTGGAGTGGACTACAACCTATCCGAGTAGATCCTGGACTACCTCTCAGACAGACCCCAGTTTGTGAGAACCAGGGACTTTGAGTCTGAGGTCCTGATCTGCAGTGTAGGGGTCCTCCAGGGGGCCGTCCTTGCGCTTTTCCTCTTCACCCACTACACTGCGGATTTCAGACACAACATGGATGGTTGTGTACTACAGAAGTTCTCTGACGACTCTACAATCATCGGACTCAGCTCCGAGGACGATGACTAATACAGGACTTCAATTTGGAGAGACGAGAAACAAGAGCTTTTGAGTATTTTATTGGGAGGAGGTTTGGCGCCCTAGGCCCCGGTAAGTAAGTAAGTAAGTAAGTAATCTTTTATTTATATACCGCCTTTTCACTGCAGATCTGAGTCTCAAAGCGGTTTACAATTGTTAATTTTTGGGCATTTGTCTCTCACTCCACACAGAGATGGGAGCGGGGTCGCCAGTACACAAGGCACATGCCAGACCTATTGTACATATTTTTAGTGGTAGGGGAAACCGGAGTACCCGGAGGAAACCTACGCAGACACGGGGAGAACATGCAAACTCCACTCAGAAAGGCCCTGGTCCGACCGGGATTCGAACCCAGGACCTTCTTGCTGAGAGGCGAGAGTGCTATCCACTCAGCCACCGGTGCGGCCTTCAGATCGGAGGGGCTCTGCGATGGAGCGTGCCAATCCCCCGGGACCTAGGCACTGGTGGCGGCATTAGGCAGCGGGAAGCAGATTGAAGGTAGATTGAAGGCAGGGTGAAGAGGAGGAGGAGGGGAGGCGGTGGTTGCAGGCTTCGAGAAGGCCGAGAATGGGAGTTCCTCCGCTTTTAAGCGGCTGCCTGGCCGGACCGGTGATTGGAAGGGGGCGTTTGCCGTGCGATAGGCTGAGGATGAGAACCGGCCTGGAGGGGTTACCTTTGGCTGACGTCTACCAAATTGAACTTCCGCTGGCTGCATTTGTGGACTGGTGTCAGCTGAAACACCTACTCATCAGCGCGGGGAAGACGAAGGAGATGGTGGTGGATTTCCGCAGACATCACTCTGCCGCTTCAGCCCCACTTCTTTATTATGTTCAAGATTTTATACTTGTTTCTTTGATGCTAGAGTTAGACTTTTGTTTTATTAGGCCCGAGCCCCGAACGGGGTAAGGGCCTATTGCTTTCACAAGGTGAATGCAAGGGGTGGCGGTGCGTGACGGACGCGTCAGCGCCAGTCACTCACCAAAACGTGACGGTTGCGTACGTGAACTCGAACGCTTTAAAATGATGTATAATTTGCCATTGAAACCTATATTGTTTTTGCTCCTTATTCCTTATTTATTAGGCCCGAGCCCCGAACGGGGAAAGGGCCTATTGTTTGTGCTCAAGAGATGTCAAATTCTGCACTTTGAGCCTTAATTTCACCCCTTAACATGCATGAAAAGTTGAAAAAAAAAGTTTATTTTTATGGGACTCAAAAAATGCCAGAACAGCGCCACCTACAACAGCCAATGGGAGTTTCAGAAGTCAAGTTTGTCGTAGAGCCATGAAACTTGGTACAAATGTTCCTCAAGTCAAGATAAGACCAAAATGTTATCATGGCTCCGCCCTCTGACAAACAGGAAGCACATAAATTTCACTGCAAAATGGAAAAATGATCCGCAATAATTTTCATACATGTCGGTTGGAAATCTTTTCCTCCTCGGCCGTTTCACCGATTTGCCTCTAAATCGCTCCACATCATTTCAACACATTTACCTTCAAAATGACCAAAGGGATTTTGGATCAGTGAAACGTTGTCTGAGCAGCAGAGTGGCAAAATGTGACATTTTTTTGGCCGTTTTTAACATTATTAAATTTGCTCCCGTTTGCACATACAATGTCTGATTTGCACAAAACTTTAATACATTGTTAACCTCTAGGGTCTAGGTCATTTGAAAGTGAAATGATTCAAATTGACACATTAGCGCCCCCTACAGACTATTTCAAAGTTTTATATGGGAATTTTCAAATTGAGTTTTTTCAAAATGTTTGAAATTTTGCACATACATCTGTTTTGCCCTCTTGATTCAAAAATGTAATAGGGCCCAAGGCTTATTTTTTACCCTGTTGCCGTGGCGACGACAAACTCCCCATTCATTGACTGTGGCAAATGTACACCTCGCACAAACATCAAACCAGCCTCGGCCGTTTCACAGATTTCCCTCAAAATCGTTCCACATCATTTCAACACATTAACCATCAAAATGACTTCAGGGAATTTTGATCAGTGAAACGTTGTTTGAGCAGCGGAGTGGCAAAATGTGACCTTTTTCCCCATTTTGACAGTAGATCTCATTTGCACAAACCATGTCCGAATTGCACCAACATTGAATCGGTTGTTCAACTTTTGGCTCTGGGTAAACTGAAAAGTTTAAAACTGAAAAGTTTAAAACATTAAATTGCAGCATTAGCGCCCCCTACAGACTGAGTCCAGTTTTACATGGCTTAGAATGGCATTTACTAAGTCTGATTTGCACTAAACTTGACTCGGTTGTTCAACTCCTGGGCCTAGGTCGCCTGAAAGTGTGAACAATAACATGGTCCCATTAGCGCCCCCTACAGGCTGAGTAAAGCGTTTACATAGGGGACATCGCGCATTTAGTTTTTCTGTTGTTTGATCTCATATTTGACCCACTGAGAATGCACAAAAACTCACCATATTCTTTTATGGATTTTTTTTCTGGCAACAAATGAATTATTTTGATGGGGGGCATTGCGGGGCATTGCGAAACAGTGCAACGTGGCGCAGGACGGTGTGGTGTGAGGCGGCGTGGTGTGAGGCGGCGTGGTGCGAGGCGGCGTGGTGCGAGGCGGCGTGGTGCGAGGCGGCGTGGTGCGAGGCGGCGTGGTGCGAGGCGGCGTGGTGCGGGGAGCCGTTTGGGGCAGCGTGATGCGATGCGGGGGGTCGCGCGGTGTGGCATACATGTCGGTTGGAAAGCGACTCCTCCTCGGCCGTTTCACCGATTCGCCTCAAATTCGCTCCACATCATCTCAACACGTGTACCTTCAAAATGGCTGGCACAATGTGACCTTTTTTTGGCTGTTTTTGACAATAGAATTTAAAAAATATATTTCTCTCAATTTGTGATAATCATGCGCCTCAGGAAATTTAGAATTTCTGGTAAGGATTACCCCTGGGTAAATGATGAACTTATTAATACGCTCAGAGAAAGAAATGCTGCCTGGTCAAAAGCAAGGTCTACGAATTCAGACTCTGATTGGGTTACCTTTAGAACCTTGAGAAATAAATGCACCCTTCAGACCAGGAAGACAAAATCAAATTATGACTTGAAATCCATATCAGAAAATCTGAGCAACCCAAACCAATTCTGGAAACAGATAAAGTCCTTATCTAGCTCCATAATAAAATCGACCCTTCCGAATAGAATTATAGTTAACTCAAAGACTGTTGAATAAAAAGAACAAATTGCCAGGCCTTTTAATGAGCCTTTTGTATCCGTAAACCCCTTCTCTGATGCCTCCACTGTTCCTGGTTCATCCTAGATCACTGATTCATCTGAGTATTCCTCTCTTCCAACTGCCACCCGTAAATTTCAGCAGCTTTAGTTTTCCTTCCATCTGCTGAAGCTGGTGCTAAATGCAAAAAAACCTAAATTAATGACTTTTACTAGAGGCCGTTCAAATTCTGTAATGCATTGCGGACTCCAAAAACTTCAGGGAGAGCCTCTTGAAAAGGTAACCTGCTATAAGTATTTGGGCATATGGGTAGATGGTAAACTCGCTTTCACTACTCACATTGAGCATGTGTTAAAAAAGCTGAAAGCTCTTCTTAGCTTTTAGTATAGACGTTACTTTTTTCCTTATAGTGCTGCCCATGGTTGGCTCCGGACTGCGCCTCGTCTGACTCGTTACCAGAGACCTGTCTGCCATGGGAGACCCTGCCAGGGGCATGAAGCCCCAGAAAACATAGCTCCCAGGATCATCAGAGTACTCAAACTCCCCCAACACATTAAGGTGGCAGTCCAGGGGGGAGAGCACTTATTGCACTGCTTACTGCATATTGGGCCTCATGTATGAAAGTTGCGTAGAAAAGGGTGTATATTTTGGGTGTATATTCCATTTACGCAAGATCCGACGTGGCATTTATGAACGTGTGAGATACGCACAGATCTGAGCGTACGCACCTGCGGCTGTTGAAAATGCCACGCTCAAAACCAGCGTATT